ATATATATATATATATATATATATATATATATATATATATATATATATATATATATATATATATATATATATGTATATATATTTACCAGTCGTTATGTATGTATGTATATATGTACTGTATATGAAAAAGCTATCACGTGTTTGTTTTATTTTGGAAGAACTGAAAGAGACAGACAGAGCTGAGGTTGACCTCCATGCTCTGAATCGAGCCTGATGTTCCAACAAACAGGTCATCTATTCGGGGGCACATCCTTCAAGAGTTAAAGTGGATTCTGAAAAAAAAAAATCCATTGTGGTGTCATGATTTTATTGTGCTTCTTATGCTTGTTTTGTGCTTTGTATAATTTAACGTTGATTTTTATTGCACAGCGCTTTGTGATTTTATGGCTGTGAAAATTGCTCTATAAATAAACTTTACTTACTTAGTTAATGAGAGTTAGTAGGAGAGATCATATCTCTCCAGTTTTAGCTTCTCTCCATTGGCTCCCTGTCAAATTCAGAATTGAATTCAAAATCTTACTTCGAACCTAGAAAGCCCTGAACAACCTAGCTCCATCTTATATTACAGGTCTTATTGTACCATATTTTCCTAACTGAGCACTTTGCACTATGCAGATTTACTTGCAGTTCCTAGAGTTTCCAAAAGTAGAATGGGCAGCAGAGCTTTCAGTTTCTGTCTGTGAGGCCTTGTCTACTTTAAGATTAGGCTTAAGTCTTTCCTTTTTAGGGTCAGCTTGTGTTTGACAAGCTATCCCTGCTGCTATAAACTTAAACTACTGGAGGACAAACTGACCACATGTCCTCACTCTGCTGCTGTCTTTACTTGTTCTACCAGTTTGTACTTGTAATTATTTCTATCATTAGCTTGTGTTGTGTGTGTGTCTTTCTTCCAATAGGGGGTACACCTGGACCTGTCATTCTATGTTTGTTCGTCCTTCCTGTCCTCTCAAACCCAGCCAGTCAAAGCAGATGGCCACTCATCCAGCCTGTTTCTGCTGAAGGTTTCTTCCTGTTTAAAGGGAGTTTTTCCTTTCCACTGTTGTCATTGTGCTTGCTTAGGATGGGAGACTGTGACGAAGTGAAGAGTCAACGTAATCTGCTGGCTTCCTTAGATAGATGATGTTTACTATACTGACTGTATATGAATGTTCCTGTTCAGTGCCCTGAGACAACTTCTGTTGTGACTTGGTGCTTTATAAATAAACTGAACTGAATTGAATTGAATTGAATTGAATTGAATTGACTGGGTCAGTCAATGAGCCATATTCTGCATTTTGGACTGTTTGCAGATGATGAAAACATTACTTATACAACATATAATGAGGCGTTATAAAAACATATACATTCAATTTCTCCCGAGGAATATAGATCTTAAGATTGGCAAGAAGATTAAACAAGTTAACTTATGTTGCTAAGCCATTGTCAGAGTATGTACATTTTCAATGTTTCTGATTAGAACTGTTGAACTACACAGTTTCTACATCAAAAGTGACTGTTTGGGCGTTCAAACTCACAATCAATCAATTTATTAATTAAGAAAAATGCGTGTTTTTACAGCTGTTTTAGCTTTTAAAAATCCTAGCTCCTAACAAAAGGCCGACAGTAAGAAGCTAAACGGCTAAGAACAGTATCAGCTCCATAACAGGAGGTTATTTTTAACATATGATGATAACGCCGCTACCATGCTTTACTGATAAAAGAAGCTTTCTTTCTTCCATCATTTGCCTTTTGAGCTCTTGTTCTGTGTTCTCTTTAAGGGTTAGGTCTGAAGTTCTCTGTTTTCTCCACAGATCTCTGCAGGAATCGGTCAGGACATGTATTTTAGTGTAGTCCTATTGTTCCCTAACAGGGGTTGCTAAAATGATTTAGCGTCGACAGGGCTCTGGAAAGTGCGCAAAAGTCCCAGGGAATGCACGTAAACGCAGCGTGAGGGAGCTGACTCCACACGCGCGCGCAGGCACACGCACACCCTCCCTCCCAGCAGAAGGAGCATCCTCGCAGGCTGATCAGGTGGTAGTTTCAGTGCAGCCTCAGCATCCGCCGCTTCCCAGCAGAGGAACACGAGCGCGCTTGTCTGCGGGGATTTTCTTTTTCTGCCATGCTGGAAATGTCTCATGTCGTGTGTGTCCTCGTGCCGCTGCTGATGCTCACGCGGTCCGCCTGCCAGGCGGACGGGAAGAGCGTCGAAGAGGCGGAAAAGACGGGGAATTTCATGGAGGACGAGCAGTGGCTGTCCACCATTTCACAGTACAGCCGCAAGATCAAGCACTGGAACCGCTTCAGAGACGTGAGTGTCGCTGACCGCGCGCGCGCACACGCACACTGCCATCTTTAAACACATGAAAACTTAATGGTGTGTTGGAACATACCCCCACAGGCCAAGTGTTAAAGAGAACCCATGAAACATCTAAAAAAAATTGATTTAATTTAGGTTGGTGTTCACTCATTTTCTCCTATTCACTTGTTTGTTTTTGTTTTTTTAATCTAAAAATCTATTCTAATCTAATTTCTTTAATTATAGGAATCAGTTAAAGAGGAGCATTGTTTGAGCATCTTGTCTTCTTACATTTAGTGTTGTTTTTTTAAATTATATGTATTATAAGCAACACCTACAGATGCTCTTAATTCCCAGATGTTTCCTCAAATGTGTCTCAAGGATTTCACAAAGAAGAGAATTAAACAATTAGGACGGAGAGCATTGATTGATCGATGTGCACGTGCACCTATTGAACAGACTGAACTGGGTTGTTGGGATTGATTAAAGCCTGCAGTGTGTGCCTGCTGAGAAACTGCTGTGTGTGTGTGTGTGTGTGTGGATGGCGTTCCACCTACAGCTCGGTGAAAAGATTACTAATGATCAGGATTTGGACAGTATATTGCAGTTGGATTAGGTTCCATATGACCGATGTTAATTGGGTTTGAATTGATCCTGTGAGGCTGCACCTGATTCTGTTGTGTGTCATTTAGCAAACGCAACAAAACTGACTTCAACTCAGCCACTTTTACTAATACAAAGATAAGATTTGGACTGGTGGTAGCTGAGAGTCAATCCCAGCGCATGCACTGAGGGCTAAATGATCAAGAGATCTGTTTTGAAAACTTTTCCATTATCTATTGGAGTCAGCTGTGCCTGTATGTTAGCAAAACATCACATAATGAAACTTCTAGTGTCTACAACTCATTACCCTTTGGAGTCGACCCAATTAAAGATGGCTGCTACAGCTAACTGACTTTGGGATACAAAAATGGCTGCATCAGTTTTACAGGTATTCAGCTGAAAGGTGTGGTAGTGGCTGAGCATTATCCCTAACATATACACTGAGTGCTACACTTAGCACTATATTTTTGCTTAAAACTTTTGCATTAACAGTTGATGTCAGCCCTGTCTGTCTGTTAGCAAAATATCTCACAAACCACTGGATGAATTTCAGTGGAACGTTCAGAAGATAATCACCGGATAACAAATGTTCTTGCTCAATAATCCATGTATTAATCCAACAATGTTCATTCAGGTCATCTGGACAGTTATCTTTTTTAATTATTTTTTTTAATCATTGAATGGACTAAAACTTCTTAACATTTGATGTCAACCCAGTTCAAGGTGGCTGCCACAGCTAATCAACATTATAATGCACAGAAATGGTTATAACTCGGTTTGTTTTACAGTTGTTGGGCTAACATTTGATGTGGTCATAGCTGAGAGTCATTCACAACATATAATCCACATATTCCACATTTATGCTGAAGTGTGGGGTGCTCGCTCCTCTAACCTGGAACACGTTGCACAACGATCTGAAGCTCTCGACCTTGACCTCTCTACAGGATTTTAAACAACAGCTAAGTTCGTGGCAACAACCAGTGCAGACATGTTCCTGTTTTTATCATTTTACATCGCTTTATAATATAGCGGATGTTTCTGTTTCGTTTTTATATAAATTTTTCTATTGACTTTTCATTTCAAATGCTTTTTATATGATTGTCTATTGTTTGTGTTCTTTGTTTAAAACAGGTCTCTCCTGTAAGTGAGTCCTCGAGGCTCAATGAGACTAACCTGTATAAATAAAAGTTGAATGAATGAAAAACGATCTCAGTTTAAAACTCTGGCGTCGGGCGAGATGCATTCCAGAAAGCACAGGCTGGGACATTATTTAAGGGCGTAATGAAGTTGCAGGCATGGGCAGATTAAGTCAGAATTAGTGTGGGATTATAACTCAGCTGCAGCTACGTTTGCACAGCTCTGATCCAAAATGTTCATGTTGCCGGCAGTGACTCTTTGAATTCGATACATCGCGGTTGGCACGTGGGAGAAGAAACCCCTCCGATCATGAGTCACTCCTGACGCTATCGTAACTGTAATATGTCGCACTCCCTAACTGTTTTCCTCTCAGTCTAAATTTTCCACCTGCTCTGCTTCGCTGTGTTTCTCAGTTTCACATCAGTGCCTCCTCTACAACCCAAACAAGCCCACAGTTATTACTTGATCATCGCCCCTGAGGGTGATTGTCTTTGGGAGCATGCATGTGTCTAATAAAGTGTTTACATGCAATATCTGCCAGGGCTGTTCCTGCATGTGTCTGCAAGTGCATCAAAGAAGGATGCTTTTTATTTTTTTTATTTTTTTTAACTGGTCGTCGTGAAGATAGGACAAACGTGAGAGAAAAGAGAACCACTAAACCTCCCGAGGGAATCGTCAATAGAGACCGCTTTGATTTCAGCTTGCTGCCGTAGCAACAGCAGCCTCTGCGTTGAGATGGAGCGCAGATCGCTGGGAGTTTGATGACTCTATTCTCTCTAACCAACGCTGCTTCAGGGCAAAAAGTGTAGTAAGGTTTCTCCACGCTGTTAAAACTTCCACAGATGAAACAACACTTGTATTTTTCTCATTATTTTTAATGAGACGTCGCGAACATTAAATGCAATGAACGTTTAATTGGCTGCGCTTCATGTTTGCCTTTGAGCTATAGAAAAATGTTTTTTTAAAAAGTGGAAAATTTACAGTTCAGCCTTGGGAATTGGTTGATGTGTAAATTGCTGCCAATGACACACTTATAAGTATTCAAAGTGTATAAATTGATGTTGATGTGCACCTTCCTCTGAGAGATTAATGGTGTGCAAGGCAATAATCAAAGGCACGCAACATGAAAGACAAGCTCTTGCTGTCTCCCTTTTATTGCACAAATGCACGGAGATAAACACAAATGCTCCCATGCAGAACGACGCAGCACCAATAGGCTGCACAGAGTACACTGTAAATATTTCATGTTTATTCTTCCATAGAATGGAAAAGCAGAATCAGGAGGATTCACTTCCAGGACAACAAGAACAATAAAAAAAAACAGAAAAGCTCCCACATTTCAATTCAATTTATTTCACAGGAAGACAAGGCGATTAAATTTAGCTGCAACAGTCAACAAATAATAGCCTGAGATACCTTCAATCCTTTAATCTGACAGGTGCACTCAACATTTTATTCCACTAATGCAACAAATCCCTGGAAAGAAACATAAACTGGACAACAGCTCAGAGGAAGTCATAGAGTGAATGCAGATTATTACTGATAGTTTGTGCCGGCACTGTTTGTAGTTTTGCAGATGAATCAGTAAGCTTAAAAAATACATTTTATAAAAGCGTGTGATCTTTTCTTGAACCTAATTATTTCAGTTTTGTTACTCCACCATAACAAAGTGGTTTAGATATCTCTGTTTGTACATACGGGTGCAAATACACCAAAATGTTGCTAAAAAATAGTTTTACAAAATGTTGTAAGATTGTTTTTTTCACCGTTTTTTTAATACTAATGATGATAATTAACATGACTGACTTTGGATCATTATTGATATCTAAGTATCTTTTTTTGTTCATCAATAAAACCCTTTAAAGTTGAGTTCAAAATGAGAGAAGAAAGGAATGTCTAATAATCATTAATCCTTGAAGAAATGCATATCACCCACCAACTTCATGACAAAATCTTGAACTAAGGTCTTGTAGAGAATTTACAAAGTTGTAGCTGTTTTGATCACATGTTAAAAATAACGTTATGCATAATCTCATTCGATATTATAAGATGTCACTTTCAGAGTTTGTTGTGAAGTACTCTCCTCAACCACATCAAACTTTAGGGCCATGTCTGTAAAACTGGCAGAATTAAAACTGTGCGTTTTCTAAGCTCCAGCTGTGGCAGCCTACTTGAATTATTATTATTATTTTTCTGGATTATTGAGCATGAACTTTGATGTTTTGAACCACTTTGGCTATGTCTGCCGCAGAGGAGTCGACAGGGGAAAGGGCGGGGCCCAAAAACCATCTTATCACCAGCAAACTGGTTGGTCCATTGTAGGTGTGCACTGCTTAGTGGTGAAAACAGTTTGTCTGTGACTCCTCAGACTGATGAAGCCCTTCGGATGGAGGGTGAAACGTTGGATTTATTTACCTGGATTATTGAGCACGAACCTTGATTAAACTCCAAAACTTTATCAGTTGTAGATGTACATCAATTATTTCCCTAAATTGTCAGTGAAATTTATCTAATGGTTTATAAAATATTTTGCTAACAGACAGGCAATAGTTACAGGCAAAATTTAAACAGATCTTTAACAATCTAAAAATTCTCACAATATGGTTTGGGGATGACGCTGATACTAACAGACCAAACTTTAGCTCGATATCTTTAAAAGTGACTGAGTTATAGTCATTTTTGTGCTTTTTAAACTCAGTTGGCTGTGGCAGCCATCTTGGACTGAGCTCCCTCTGAAAGTTAACCAGCTATAGAAGTACATCTAATGATAGCTTTCTCCAAGGTTTAATATATTTGTCCACTGGTTTATGAGAATAGTGAACACATGGGCAAAAACAGTATTCACTTTTTGCCTTTTGGCAGCAGGTAATAAAAATGAAAATATAATATTTAGCCATTAAAAAACATTTTTTTATAGCATCAACTTAGAGAACAAGATGAATATTTTGAAGCAGTCTGTTTCCATCATAGCAGAAATGACAGATATAGACATTTATATTTTTAAACATATAAATCCAGATGAAATGTGTACCAAAGGCAGATAAACACAAAATAAATCTTTATTTTCTAAATCCATCAATACAACCACCCCAACGATAAGCTACTCTGATGTTTTATTGTTTGTGTTTGAGATCGTTCGTGCCTACAAACGGATGCTCATTAAGACGCTCCGGCACACGCTGTCGTTACAGTTTGTGTGTGCCACGCATGCCAATGTGAAGATGCCAGAGAGGGTTCAGTGTTTATGAGGCAATTTCCTCTCGTATCCTGTG